CAGTATCACAACTGGAGTCAATTCCGATTAACGAAAGAGTATTAGTCTTTCGTATATGTCGAAATGTCGCATGATCAACGGCGTCTACTGTACATAGACTTTCAATTTCGGTCTATGCCTCTAGACCTTAAATATACTGGTACACACCGCGAACAGAAACTAATCTTTAAGGCAATAAAAAAACTGAACTTTCAAAACCAGCATATCATCCAGAAAGCGGAAAGAGAAAGCTGGGCGACCCACTGATGAGCCGGAGCCCTCGCAGCTGTGTCAGGCAGCGGTAGAATACCGGCGAAACACGTGCCTAAGCCTTTTAGCTAGTACTTAGGTTATTACTATGGCAAGTTACAACGCCAATATATACTACTACATTCTGTCCGTCGGCAGCAAGTGCATATTTCACAGTGTTTTACCAGTTTCAGCCCAACTATACACTTAAAATTTTGGTCTATGCCTATGGACATTAAATATACTGATGTATACCGTGGACAGAAAGTAATTTTTCCAAACTTAAAAAAACTTATTATCTGCCTTTCACCCTGTCCTCACAGTTGCACAAGGCTGGAAGCATCGTACTCTCAGCTTCCTGCGCTATGGCCTATGACTCTGAAAATAATGATCTGCCCTCAGAACCAGAAGACCTACCAGACTCCTCATCAGTGGGCCTCACGATGTCTTTTCGGTCTTCACCTCCAGCTCTGGATCAACAGGAACCCCTTGTGGACGGTCTCTGTGGTGCAGACCTTGCCAGTGGCGCTGCTAACGTCGATAATGTCGACCAGTTGGCGCCATCCTCCTCCTCCTCCTGCAATTCGGTTGAAACCACCTCGGCAACCAGCATAAGTGTCGCAACTGCTCAGCTTAACTTCACCTCAGCCGGGGACAACTCAGGATCCCAGTGTGAACAACAAAGAACATCAGCCTCAGTGGGCTGGCTTGACTTTGTAAACTCCACGGATTTGGGTCCACCACTTAGCGGCGGTGAGTTTCAAAGCGACTGCCCACCACAGACCAGCTCGGCAGAGATGGTAGATGTGACGAATTCAGCGTCAAAGAATGAGTCACCCACCACCTCGCATACTGTCAAACTGCCGAGCACTTCAGCATCCAGTCACAGCAAGCTAAGAGTCCTCCTCTTTGATATGGAAG